CCTGGGAAGCTTTTCTGGGGAATGAGCCAGGCAGTGGAAGGACAAGGTGAAGAAGGGATTAAAATTTCACTATTCCAAATAATATCTTTCCCCTTAAAACCTCAGCCTCTGATCTGTCAGGGATGGCACAGTGCAGGGAGACAAAGGATTGCTCCAGATCTTCTTGMAGGAATAAGGGATCTGCTTTTTTTTCCCCAAAAACGAAGAGGAAGTTTTGTTTCCAAGCTACAAATCCCATCCTGGTTGCAGCGTGGTTTGAAATTCACCAAAAAAACGTAGGTTTTGTTATCAGAGCACCCTTTCCCATGGAAATGCATTTTTGGGAGACAAAAATGGTGTTGAGTATTAAAAAAATCCATGTAATTTGGGTTTTTTGGACCCTTGGTAAGAATTTTTGACCACTGATGATACAAGAATCCTTTTGATTCCTGGGTTTTGGGTCCTTGCTAAGACTTTGAGAAGCAAAAGAATCCCTCATTCAGCAAACAGCACCATTGGCAATATCTGGTGCTTCTTCCGCCTTTCTCAGGTGGGAAATTTAATTCTTAATAAATTATTAAGAATTTATATTTTGAAGAAGGTATGGTACATGTGTGAGCCCAGCACTTAATTTTAACTCTGAAAAGAGCAACCTGGGATCCTGCCATCTTTTGTAATTAAATCTTCCATCACGTGCTCAAAAAATTAGGTTTTTTTTTTTTTAATTTTTCCCCTTTTGATTTTTATAAACCTGTGAAAGAACAGGGCCTTTAGTGAACACTCAGGTCTGCTGCAGATGTTTTTTGGGGTTTTTTTTGTGTGACCCATGCCAAAACTCAACTTTGCTCCTTTTCCCTACCCTGTAGGACCTCATTAGGTGCAATTATCACCTGCAAGAAGCACAGGACCCAAATTCCTGCCATTTTCAGCAGTCTCAATAAATTCCTCACTGGGTTCTGTTTTTCTGTTTTATCAGCATTTCCACAGCSACTGAACCTCTGTAGCAGCAAAAACCCAAGGCTTCCACATTTAAAAACATTTATTTGCCATCAGATTTTGCTGTAAAAACTCTTWAWCCTCCTCCCAGCTCYGCTGCTGAGGTGCTMAAATGATGCACCATTTTCTGGGTGKKGTTTTCTGTCCTCATTTCTTGTCTCTGCCTTCAGGTTTCTTTTCATTGTTTGTATCTTTTTCATCATTCATCAGGAAAAAAAAAACCTGCTCACAGAGTCCTGCTCATGTCATTGTATAAAATCAATAACACAAATTGTGTGTTTTCTCTGGAAAAGAACAGATTTTGCCTCTCTGTCGCAGTTTCACCTCCCAGMCACTGCCCTGGAGAAAAAAATTTCTGATGGCAAAGCCCTTCTGGCAGCAAATCCTTCCCACTCTCAGCCCCCTGTYTGCTGCAGGAATTCCAACACTCAACACCTGAAGGGATGGGAGGATGCTCAGGGCAGAAATGGGTGTTCTGAAGGGACATTTGTGGGCATAAAAAAATGCAAAATCTGTATTCAGATCCCAGAACAATTGAATGGTTTGGGTTGGAAAGGATCTTAAAGGTCATTTTATTCCACCCCATCCATGGCAGGGTCACCTCCCACTGTCCCAACCCCAATGTCCAGCCTGGCCTTGGGCACTCAAAGGGATCCAGGGATGGAATTCCATCCCAGCCCTTCCCCACCCTCCCAGGGAACAATTCCATCCCAAAAATCCCACTCATCCCTTCTCTCTCTCAGTTTGAAGCCATTCCCTGTGTCCTGTCCCTCCAGGCCCTTCTGAAAACTCTGATTTTGTGTCCTACCCCTCTACTCCAGCCCCAAACTCACTCCCCAGATTGGAGCTCAGGGATGCTCCAGGTGAAGGGATGATGCTGGATTTTTTTGTTCTGGATTCAGAGCAGAGCCAACTCTGTGACACCAACATGAGCATTTCACAGAAAACATCTCAGGATTTGTGTCAGTATTAGAAAAATTCACCAGAGCTGAATAACTTGCAATTCCCTGTCTAAATAAACAAGCATGGGTGACAGGTTTGGTTTTTTTAGGATTTTTTTTTTGTTGATTTTTTTTTTTTTTTTTATTTTTTTTTTTATTTTTTTTTTTTTTTTAATAAGGAATGTCATCAGTCCTATTTTATTATGCGTAATAGAAGGAGGTGAAAAAAAAAAATCAATATAAGCACTGCATCTAACCTAATTAAAACTACAATCACAATGTTATCTGAGTGTCTTACAACATTGTTTAAATCCAACAAGTAGACAAGAAAACAACAAATCTATGCAGGGTTTTTTTATACATATGGTGAGAAAGTTTGCAAAGTGTTAAAATATATTTTCTGTTCTGTGTGTCTGTGGTACAAGGAAGTGACGTGTAGATTAGTGTATACTCATGGAACAGAGCCTTGACTTTTACAAGCAATAATCGACTTCAAAACATACAATGTATATCTTAAAATATCCCCTAAAGCTGCTCATATAAAGTCAAATCCAGCACCTACTAAAAAATCAGCCAGCTGACTCTTTGACTCCAGTGGGCACTTGAACCAAGCCCGTGGTAATTGTGAAGTACCTGACAGTCTGGTTGTATTCATATGAAAAAAATCACATTGCATAGATTTAAACAGGAAGACATGCAATAACAAGACAAGTCACAGTATAGCAAAAAACCTTGTTTCTTTGGTGAAACAGAAGCAGATATAAAAAGTTACAAAGATTTTAGACTTT